AGCAAGCATAGGTTTAAATGTGTGCTTGCAGATAAATACATTCATGTGTTTGCATATAAACAAAGATTTTGTTATCTTCTTTAAATGCTTAACTCACATGTGATTACTAAGAAATCTCTGCAGACTCTAAATTAAATGAATAACCAGCCACCAAGTAATTCCAAGACAAAAAAAAATGCAAAAATTCTTTGAACATTTTTTGGCTAGAAAATTATCTTAATTGAATTTTTAGTATAACTTTTGATGTTAAATATAATGTCAGTGACAGAGAATCTAAAAGATAAGCATACTTGGGATCTTAAAAATTAGTTGTCAGGATCCACCATGTGCGTAGATTTTAATTGATTATAGTGAAATGACTGTGGCAGGAAAAAGAAAGGTGTTTTAGTAAGTACTAATAAGGGAATTCCCGAAGCTTCTGGGAACCAGTACCACTTGTTCTGGAGGCACTGCACTGTCTTTGGGTGCTCCAGGGGTGTGGAGGGGCTGGTTCTGAGCAATCTTCCTGGCCCTCCTCTTCCCCACTCTCTCCTGGTTCCTCTGGAGGAGAGGAAGTTGGGGGAGTCTGCAGAAGCCTGGGGACAGAACACATGGGTTGAGGAAGCCTGAAGCTGAGACCTGTGGTTGCCATGCCCAGCCAAGGCCTGGATGGTGCTGGCTCAAGCTCCTACTGCTCCTTGTTTGCTTTTGTGGAGCATGCCGGAACTGACCTTTCACTTGCCCTTCACGCTCTGGGTGACTCAAACGCTGAGCCATTGTTTTAGGAACTGATTATGCCTTGACAGTATGGTAGAAGTATTTCCTCAGCACTGTGCTGAGTGGGAAGGTGGGTAGATTTTGGTATGCTTTTGCTTCATTTCGGAGGACCGCTTTTCTCTTTCTTTGGGTGTTATTTTGCTTTTTCCATCTGTAATACACATGTCAGTCCCAGATGCTGAAATGCACCTGAGCCTGTCCAAAAACTGCCAAGAGATCTTGTAGCTTTCACTGGCAGCGTGTAGCATTAGTGTGTCATTTCTGTTAAAGGCTCACACTCTTCTTATCATCACATGGAGGTCAAGATGGAACTAGAGTCAGAACAAACAAATGTGGAAATGTAAGCCATGTTAAGCTCTATACTTGTAAATCTCTATAGCAGAGCAACTGTAGCCAGTGTGAAGGGAGGCTTTCATTAAGTAGATTCATGAGGTCTACCCTCTCTGAAAGTTTGGAGTTGCCAGTTAAATACATATGTATTTTTCAAAGGAAATCATCAAAAAGGACATTCCGCTCTTATTACAAAGCTATTTTAGGGGTAAATATTTTGATAGATGTGGTTCAGTGCACCTGGGAGCTGAGCCGTAGCTCGAGGCAGTTAGAGCAGATGAAGCTCTGAGATAGCTCAAGGCTTGGGTTTTTCCCTGTGCAAGCACTTGGCTGGTGGGGCCAGCGGGAACCTTAAACTTTCTCCATGCTGATGTTAGAAAAATGACTTCCTTATGGAAAGGTCTCATTACTGAAGAGTTCTGGGACCATACTAGGTCTTCACTCAAATAAATGTATAGTGAGGTCTGTTGTGGTACATCTTATTAAGAAAGAGAATGAAGTCTGGAGACAGGAGTAAGTCATTTCAAGGCTGCTTATATTTGCATCAAATTCAGGCACTTACTGACTGACAGGAATAGCAGAAGCTTAACAAAGACAGAAAGACTGCTGTGAGCTTCCTTCTTTTGTGAAGTTAAGTTGAATCACTAGTGAGATTGAAATCCTAGCATGTAATTTTTAAAAATAGTCTAGTGTGTTATCCAACCTTGTCAGGAAATAAGTGCACAAGAACAGCACAGGCTGTGTTCCATGCTCACCTGCCATTTCAACAGACAGCTTGCTTGTTAGGGGACATTTTACAATTCTAACACTTTCTCCCTTTGACTAAAGGGATCTTTCGTCAGCCATAAAAGTATCTATCCTTGTGAAAGTACCCTTGTAGGAGACAAAGGGCTTGGTAAACTCAGTCCAGTCATCTTACCCATCTATAAGTTAGTGACAGCTGGAGGATCAAAGGACAGGGACCATGTTTGTTGGTATGATTTGTTTCTGTTTTGGTTTGGTTTTGTTGAGAAAGTTTTCACTGTGTAGCCCAGGCTGGCCTGGAACTCAATCCAATCCTGGCTTGGTTCCCAAAGTGCTGAGTTTTACAGATATGAGCTACCACACCCAGTTGTTTGTCACTTTTTATTTCCTGTCCCAGGATAAGTTCCTCAAGGGCAGAAATCACCTTTCTGTTCTTGTCTAGTAGTTGTTGATGATTTGTTGAAGGACACATAGCTGAGAACTGTTTCTGTAACACCCCAAAGCTCTCAGTTAACACGTGGTGATGGACATTTTTTAGCACTTCATTATTCGTAACATAGGCAGGAACATGGATTCTGTGAGCTAGCTAAGAGTTAACCCTTCTCACCCTTAGTGAGAGTTTCTGATAAACCTTATTTTTTACTTCTGAGGAGAGAGAACTAGGCCCAAGTACTCCTTCAGCAACAGCCTTTATAAATGTGGGACATGGATCAGGATTGCCAGAGCTGTTTCCAGATTCATGGAGGTGTCCTGTGCTTGCAGCAGCTGCTAGCCCTATTGTGCTCTTTCACTGAACGCTTTATTAGCCTTTGTGCCATCTGCTTATTTGAAACAATACAGCTGGGTTGACTGCAGCCGTTCTAACAATCAGGATTTTCTTTTTAACAAAGTGAACATTACATACTGCCTCTCATTGTGCACAGTATTAAGACAAAAAATACTGTTTAGAAATGGTTGTGCTAAGCTCACTTTAAAATAAAAAGGTTCTATTTAAAGTTCAGCTGGTTATAGTATAAACCAGTACTGATGACTCATTCTAGGGATACTTTTACCCCGACATGTGCTTTTAGTAGTTGTTTGGGACCTAGACAGGAGAAAGCCCTTAAATTATGTAGATTACTTATTTCAGGCACTTGATTTAGTAGCAACTTGTTGGCTAATTGAGGAAACACTTTTAGTTAGAAATAATTAGAAACACTAGAATATCCAATTTGGTGAAGGACATTTCATTGTAGGTGTAATTCATTTGTGACTATATGTGTAAACTTAATAATTTCTCAAGTGGATGCTTGCCTACTGACCCTGCCTGACAAAGTTATAATCTTCCCTGCAGTAGCTCAGCTGTAGGCAGGAGACCGTGAGACCATAGTCTTTTCGAGGAGGAAACCTGCTGGTATCTCCAGAATGGGTCAGTGATGCAGTCTCAGCTTCTCTCCTCGCCTACAATCTTTGTGAAAAATCATAAACAAATTAAAATGACTTTAAAGGACTCAAAGCTTTTGGCCAGTGACTGGCTTTCTTCCTTAAAGTCTGTAGGTATGATCTAATTATCTGGTTCCCCTCATGCTGCAAAGTGGGCAGCACAGCAGGATGGATCATTCATCCTACAGCCATGAACAGAAGCTGTCCACATTCAGGGATAAGTCTTCCCTTGTAAGTAGAACCTTTCTGGAAATACCCTCATAGACACACTCAAAGGCTTGTTTCCATGGTAATTCTAAATCAAGTGAAGTTGACAGAAAAGATTAACAATCACAGTCACTAAAAGTCTATAATATCATTCACTACATTACACAGCAAGGCTGCCAGAGTGTACCGAGTTTGAAAAGCAGGAATCTCCAAGGGCTCTGGTGCACTTCCAGGTCATCCTTTGAGTGGCTCAGCACTCTGCACTGCAGGGTCTGGGCTGCAGAGTACACAAACAGTCTGGTGCCTTTGTAGTAGGTACTGTGCTGAAGAACAGATGCCCTGCCCTGGCTACTGCTCTCAATGATAGTTTTTCTAGATAAAATGAAAATTCGAATTTTGTTTTTTAACTCTTCACTACTGGTTAAATTTTTCAAAGCACTGTAGCTGAACAAAGCCTATTTACAAATTACAGGTTATATATGATTGGTAGGTCTTATATGGTATGCTAATTTCCCTAATTTAAGAGTCAGTATTTAGCTTTTCAAATTGTTGATTTTTTGTTTTAATTTTAAGAGAGAGATAACTCAGAGAAAGTCAGTACTCCACTCTGTGCTGATGAAGACTTGGTCATTTCCAAAGTCCATTTCGGTATACTAGCTGTATGACACCCAGAGCTTAGGCAGTAAGAATACTAACCAGCCCATGTCTTCAAAGTATCTCCTGCAGAAGCAGGAGGCCACAGCATCATGCTACACACATGAGTGTAGCAGTGTGGAGCCTCTTGGGTAACCCTGGCTTCTTGCAAGTAATTTTGCCTGAGTCATGGATGGAAATGGAAAGGTTTTGATGAACACAGCTGTGCTATTGTAGGAGCTCAGTCTAGCAGAACTGTTGAAAGAGCAAGCGTAAAGCCTGTGCCTGGCTTAAACCTTGGCATGCTTCATGACAACATTGTTACTGCTACTATGTTACTTTGCCTCTCTGTGGTATTGCTTTCTGCTTTTCTAAGTAGCAGTCATAGAAGTTAAGTATCCCTTATCCAAAAGACTCAGAACCACGGTGTTGGGGGATTTTTCAGATACCATCATTTTTGCATGTACATAATGTGATAAATTAGGGACAGGATCCAAGTTTCAACTTAAAATTCATGAACATTGTTTGCAATATATGCCCTATACATGTGGGCTAAAGATAATTTTATGCAATATTTTTAATAGTTTGTGCATGAAACTGCTTCATGGTATGTGATATTTCACCCTTGGTAATAACATCTGCATCATAGAGTTTCAGTGATTGCATCAAATGTTCAGGAGCTCACACATGGCAATGCCTTGCAATTCTTAACTACTGTTGCTGCTACTGTTTTTAATTACAAAGGCTTGAACTTAGAAGGCCTGAGGCCAACCACTGCTGTGCCTGCTGGTAATTGTGCCCACTAGATACTGCTTGGTGGATCTCTGTGAAGATCAGTATGGATGAGAAAACCCAAAGATGAAATGTAATTACATGTGAACATACATAAAGGTTTTATGAATGCAAAGTATTGTTTGGTGTGAAGCTTTATTTCAAAAGTGAAGACATGGGCTAGAGCCATTCCATCTTTGCCCAGCACTGCTCAGACCCCTTGAGAAGTCGCTCGTGTGTGTTCAGGAATTTCAGCTGTCTCTGTCGCTTCTGGCATTCGAGACATGTTACTCAAGTTGCCTTCCATGTCTTTAAACCTCCTGGAAGAAAACATTATACTAAGCATGAAAGCATTTGCATACTGTCTGCTCAGTGCCAGATCAGTGCTGCTGGGATTTCAGTCTCTGGAAGGGGCCTAGTTGAATCATTTCATTCTATGATCATATTAGAGCAAAAACCAAGACTGTGATATCCTAGTCCCGGGAGAAGTTGATTTTTCTTTGGGATGGGGTAGGGGATACAGCCAAATGAAAATATATTGGTCAGAACACTGAAAGCCCCATTTCCCTCAGATCATTATTTTTATGGCTAACATGCCGATTGACTAAGAGATAGCACCTGTGCCATTTATTTTTAAAAACCTTACTGAAATCTACATCTTAGTGAAACTCTAGGAAAAAAATCACAACAGCTGTCCAGGCATCTGTTTGAATGATGCAGTGTGAAAAGAGTTCTAAATATAATTAGAATGTAAGACAAATGAACTTCCAGAGCAGTACCCAAGTATCAATTGAACTAGATCAGAAAGAGCTTGTCATTCAAATAACCTAAATCTAGAGTGGACATGGTTTGTTCTGGAAAGCAACAGATGTTTGCCTTGAGCGATCTTTGTTAGCAAACTCCAAACACAGCTAGTTTATCGCCACTTTCAGGGTGCAGAGAGCCAGCACACCAGGAGTGGGGTAGGAATGAATGGTGTCAGGCCGACAGTGTAGCCCACTTGATAGAGTGTTCACATACATGCCTGAAGCCCTGTGTAAAGTCCCCAGCACCACCTATACTCCCAGTACTAGGGAGGTGGAAACAGAAGACTCAATGTTCTCCTCCGCTGCAGAAGGACTCTGAGGCCAACCTGGGCTGCAGAACACCCTGTCTCGACAAAGCTCAAGTGTTAAATGATATGGCACAGTGGGCTTTTGCAGGACGTCTTCATCACCCAGTATTCCCAAGATGCCCTGTTTCTGTTTTGACATTCCTAGCACCCCAGTTAGCAACTGTCACTATCTATCTTAGTTTGTTTTGGGTCCCTGTAGCAGAATTCCATGACTGTGTAATTGATAACGCAACTTATTTCTCACTGCTGTGTCTGCTGGGAAACCTAGTGTCAAGGTGCTAGAAACTGTCAAGGGCCATTACATTGTGTCATCTAAAGGCAGGAGTCAAAAGAACAAGAACCAAAGGGGGCCAGACTCAGTGTCTTTGCTATTGTGTTGTTGCTGCTGCTGGTTGGAGAGTTTTTGTTTGTTTATTTGTTTGTTTGGTTTTTGTTGTTCTTGGGTTTTGGATTTGTCTTTTAGGGTGGTGCTACTGGGCATCAAACCCATGTTCTTATGAATGTCAGACAGGCTTTCTACAGCTAAGGTATACTCTCAGCCTGCTGAACTCACTTTTGTAACAGTGTGCTCTCATGAATGCTGATCCACTCATGGGGACAAGGCCCTCCTAGTCTAGAAAATTGTTGAGTGCCCTGTCTGTTGACACCGTTCTTGTTACATTGGGAGTTGTATTTCTAACACATGAGCTTTGGGGATTGAGACAACAACTATCTTTCCTTCCTTGTCCCTCTCAATAGCTCCTGAGAGTTCATACTTTGCTTAGAATGGTTTCATGCTCTGAGAATTCAAAGAAGAGGGTAGTTAGTCAGTGTCTGCTTTCTTTTAAAGACTAAGTAACATAATGCACATTTTATTTCAGCTAATATTCTGCCTTTAAAGCTCTTAGTATTGTCTGGCCTACAGTGGGTATCAATTAATGACCTCAGTGTATGATAACATACACATGTTTAGTTGGTAATAGCTGTTTTTATGGAGTACTTGTAATATTCTAGAAAATCTTTGTATACACATGCATGCAAATTTGTATTTAATTGTTAATATCATCCTTTGGGTATAGTGTATTGTCCTAGCTAGTTCCAATTTCTAGATGAGCTGACTGAAGTTGAATGGTGACCTGGAGTTGTCCAAGGTTACACATATGGCAGGTGTGTCTTAACTATAACTTGAGTCCTTAACCATTGGAATGTTCCTCAAAGTCTCTTCCCACAGTCTCCATTTCCCATTGTCCTACAGCTTCCTCCAAAGGACAGTGCTGCTTGCAGCATGTATTTCCTGCCATTCAATGCCTGGGAAAACCTATTTCACTGACTCCACAGTGAACACATAACTTCCTAGCCTTTTCTCAGGGTCACAAAACTTTGAGAAACCAAAAGGAAGTTACCAGTCACGCTGAGAGTTGTCATACTAATAGGTTAATGATCATATTAATGATTAGTAATAGTAGGAGGGAAGTAAGGGAGGAGGTAGGATATGTCTATAATGTTTGCCCAGTTTGTTTCAGAGTGTTCAGATGCTCTCACATCTCTGAACAGCCCACGCCTCACTAAGTCTTGCTGGAGCATCAGTTCCCTCCATTTGTTGGGTGAAGCAACTGAGACCTAGAGCAGTTGGCAGATGACATTGCTCAAAGCAAGAGTCTATTTCCAGAAAAACTGGGATTCAGATGCAGTTCTAGTTCCCTTGTATCCTAAGAAAAGCTTATCTGCCTGGCAATTATTTATCCCAGAACTTCAGGTGTCAAGTGAACTTCCTCTAATCCCACCACACATGCCCTTCATCTGTAGGATTCTACCAGTCATGTAAGGAACCTTGGGAGTAATACCATACAAAATTTGCATCTCTGGTTTTGCTGTGAATCCTGTATCACACTGCCATATGTATACCTGTTGGTGCTGACTTCCACAGATAGCTGTCTTGGGACATAGGTCTTTGTATGGCTCTCCTGGTGAGAGGCAATCTTTGTTTAACAGATGCCCTAACTAGGAAAGCCTCTTTCTCCAGGACCTTTCCTCCTAGTTCCTTCTCACTGAATCATCAGCCTAGCTTCCTTTTCTCTCAGCCTACATGTTCACTCAAGTCTCTCCTTCAGAAAGAAAAGGCAACAGAGACTATTCTGTGTGTGTAGCTAAGAGTCTCCCTCTTCTTTCTGCTCAAAGGAGAGGTCTTACTACCCAGAACCCTTCTACTTTGGTTTACTCTTGGGTAAACACAGTATCCTGAGTGCTTCCACCATTAAGTGAAATCTCTCTGAGAAAGTGTTCCATGGCTACAGTCAACCCAGGTTTCCATTCTGTCTTAACTAAGCCTCTCTCCGTCTCTTAAATGTTCCCAGTCACTGTTATTGAGTTTGTTGTTGGTATTGTTTTAAGGTAGGGTCTTACCGTGTTGTCCAGACTGACATCTAACTCCTAGGCTCAAGATATATTTCGTCTTCAACCTAAGTTTTCAAGACCAAAGGTGTGTCCCACTGCACTGGTTCTTTTGATGACTTAAGTGTTCTCACTCCCACTTTGTGGTCTGTGCTTGGGTTCCTTCTTAACCCCTACACCTGCACTTCAGATCAGGTTGTCTTCCTGAGCCGAGCAGTGGTGGCAGCACTTGGGAGACAGAGGCAGGTGGATTTCTGAGTTCGAGGCCAGCCTGGTCTACAGAGTGAGTTCCAGGACAGCCAGGGCTACACAGAGAAACCCTGACTCGAAAAAAAAGAAAGAAAGAAAGAAAGAAAGAAAGAAAGAAAGAAAGAAAGAAAGAAAGAAAGAAAGAAAGAAAGAAAGAAAGAAAGAAATTAGACGGGAGCGGGGAGGGGGATCCTGGGGAGAACCTACAGGTTCTTATCCAGTGTACCTGTTTTTATAGTTGTTTGGAAAGCACTGGATATTAACATGTAAGCTGCTCCGTCCCTGGATCCCTTCTCTACCTTTATTCTCACTCTTGTGTGTTCCTCCTTACTGTCTTACACTCAGTTCTCTGTCCTGCCAGAAGGAGGATTTAAGTGCCTCCCATACAAGTAAATGCCTCTGGCATGGTACCTATCAGTCAGTGTGGTTTCCTGGGTGCTTAATTGGCTTCCAAGGTTAACTGCAAACTCCTTAAACTCATTCAAGACAAAAAGCAAACTGTACTCCTATGTTCATAGTGCCTAACCTAGCTCTACCTACTAGCCATTAATGAATAATGAGGGGGTATACATCAAAATCTCCAGATGTTTGTGAGTGTACTACTGTTGAACTATCTGAAGAGCAGATGTCTTCCCACCCACCTTAACCCCTGAATATTCAGTTTAAGTTTCTTGAGTTCAGCCTGAGAGCCATTCTTGTATTTGAGGTGAGTTCAAGTTCTACTTGCTGCAGTTAACCATTGTTAATCAGACCAACTGCCCAATTACTGTGTCTCAATCAAAGCACGTATTATCAAAGCCTTCTTGTTTATGAGTCAGATATGCCGTTGATGTTTACAAGAGGAATTAGTTTCTACCCTGAATCCAAACTAGCCACAAAAGCTGGTATATACATATGATATAGTATTTTGTGTCTCTGTGTGAAGTTAAAGAGGGTTGGGTTTTGATGTTCTACCTTTGAATGAAATGAGGCTGTATTATAAAAATCACTAAGTTTTAGTCAAGTACCTGAGAAGCGTAATTGGAAGCCCTGAATATGAAAACCAACAAATGGAATGTTTTCATGACATTGACAAAAGTTGCACTGTGTGCTAATAGACCTATGTTATAAAAATGTGGAAATAGGATTTAATATTCAAAATAATTAGACCAGTCTCCAAACTATTATTAAAGTAAAAGGATACTAGCACAGAGTAGCTTTAGCAAAACAATAAAATTACAAATTTAAACATTGAGAAAAATGGTGTTTTGTCATAAGAAAAGGGCCTAAAGCAAGCATTAGAAATAGATGTCATCACTCTTTCTAGAATACCTGTATTTTCCCCCATGAATTGCCTCTTTATTTCTCTCTAGACCAGCCTCCCTGACCATCTGGCAAAAGATGGCTTCCTCTTACCACTGAAGGTTCTGTGTCCTCTTTCAGTTCAACTAAAGAATCCATCCTGAATTAGAGTCTCAGTTCTAATTTCAGCCTCTCAGAAGAGAAGTTGGTTCATGTGGCATAAGTCAGGAATCCACTGCAGCCCCAGCAACTATAGCCAAGGAGGCAGGGCCATGTGATGGAGATGTGATACCAAAGCATCCACTCAGACTCAGACAAGGCGGTTCTCAGACAAGATGGCAGTTATGTGCTAGACTGAGCACCCTTTCACCCCCTGACTCCAAGCAAGTATGAAGTGAAAAGTCCTCTGTAGTAGCATTCGTCAGGCAATGGGTTTATACCCTGATTGCCAGTGTCTTCCAGGCAGTGGCTCACCTTGACACCAGTTCTAGCTCAGGTGCTAATGTTTCATTCTGTAGACATAGAGAACATAGAGAATGGCCTGACCACAGGCACTCTTTGTGCTTCTATTCGATAAGCAGAAGAAAATATTAGCTCTGCCTCCCCAGTGATACATATAGGCAGTAAATGTCTGAATAAATCCAAAGCAAAATTGTAGTGTATAAAGAAAGTAAAAATGGGGAGGGGAGGAGGGGGGGAGACAGATATATAATTAGAACGGAACCTTTCTACAGGTGTTAAAACCAAGGAGATGGCAATGGTAATCATAAGATTCTATTTACATTTTATCTATTTATATATAAACACATAAACACTGTGGTTTGCATTTAAACATTTACTGGTTCATTGAAATATTAGCTACTAAAAGATTTTCATAAAAATAAATAAAATATAAATACATGCCACTAATATTGGTTGGCAACCTGAATATTGACTGACATTTTTAGTTTTTATTTTCCAATTTTAAATTGATATGCTCCCAGCCCAGAGTTTGAAATCAATTCTGCTAGTGTCAAACAGTTAAGTTTATGATAGGAGTTACTAATTCAGTCAACTCTATAAGGAGATTTTTACTAAAATTTACAAGTAACACAGACTGAAAGACATTTTCTCTATGGGACATTCAGACAGTCTCTAAAAATACGCCAGGATGTCTTTTGTCAGTATCATGGATTGTCTCCAGTGATCTTAGTGATGGACCAGGGGCTGAAAGAACCTAAGATATGTGAGGTCTGGGAGCTATGCTAATATATTGGTTGCCAATACCAGCTGAGAAAACTACTCTGAAGCAAACGAGATCTAGCAGTAATTAACAGAGCCTCTTACCTAGCTTTAGTAATTAGAGCAGCTCCTGTTAGTGCTCATTTCAAGCGTCTGTATAAACAACTCCAGAGCTCAGTGGCTTGTTGCTATAGGTTCAGTGTAGATGAGGGCCGTGTCTGTTCCATGAGGTTATCTGGAGTCCTGGGCACCTTCCATGTATGACTCCACCATCCTCAATCCCCTCCATCCAAGCTGGTCCAAGGAACAGGAGTGAGCTTGGACCAGGTCTGTACCAGAAAGCGTCCATTGCCCCATCATGATGTATTGTCGGGACTGAGTCATATACACCACACCTGTCTCTAAGGAGGCTGGAGAAATGTATAGTCAGGACCCAGAAGGAAACAGAATTAGTATTTTTGGTGTTTGCCAAACTATAAGGATGGAGATTTGAGAGGCTATGGAAACATTAGGAAAGGGAAATATTGTTTTAAAAAATAGGGCAAGGGTCCTTTTTGTCTTCAAAAAAAGTTATTGAAAATAATTAAGATTGTTTCAAAGTCACTTGTCAAAAAAAAATAATAGTTAAAATTCAGTAGGTCATTTTTCCTCTCTAGTACTGCAGGTAGTGGTGATGGCTTCCACAGATCACCTGTGTCTCCCTAGTTCTGTCCACACTGAGAAATCCGGAAGAAGATGAGAGTCTATAGAGGCTGAAAAGTGCTCAGCTCTGCATAGAGGCTGAAAAGTGCTCAGCTCTGCTCAGAAGCCTGATAGGCACTCCCTCTCTGCACCACCCAGCTGAGTCTTCTACAGGTGTGTCCCACACCACAGCAAACTAGTTGAGAAGATTGACAGCTGAACACTCGTTGAATACCCCCATAGTGTGGCACAGTGGGGTGCGTGCGTGCGTGTGTGCGTGCGTGTGTGTGTGTGTTTTATGTTACTGTAACAAGAACCTGAGACAGTCACTTATAGGAGGAAAGTATGTATGTCTGAGTTGTGGAGGTCCCTGAGTTGTGGATGTCCCTGTCCCCAGTGACTGCTCAGCCCTGTCGCTTAGGGACTGATGCAAGGCAGCAAGCACACTGTGGCAGCAAACTCCTCGCTGTGGCCAGAGAGTGAGAGAGTGGAACAGAAAAGACCCAAGTCCTGCGGTCAGTCCTCTGTGGGTGTGTCTTCAGTGACCCAAAGGCTTCCCATAGACGTTATTTCTACTTCTACACTCGTCTATAGCCCTGAGCACTTACCTATATCCCATGTGCCATCTGAAGTTTGTTTGAGCTCATGCCAACCCCTGTGTGTTGCTCTTACTTTACAAATAAAGAGCTATCTAACAGCTTGCCAGAGTTTGAACAGCTTTAAGTTCACAGTTAGACTCTGTCCCACAGAGCTTTTGTCTGCCTGGGACAGAATCTAACTATGAACTTAAATCTAACTGTGACCTCCTAATCATCAAGCTACAATGCAGGAATTAAGACACCAAAGAGAGAAACATCACAAAGGGTTTGGCGGGGGGGGGGGGGGGTTCTGACCTTAACTAGTGGGAAAATAGAATGCTGCTTCACCTTAAGTTCTCTGGGACCTAGTCCATTAATCCACATCAGGAAACCCCGTCCAGAAGTTCATATGGAGAGAGTCAGTCTGGGCAGTGAGAGCAGGAATCCTATTGTAAGCAAAACTACCTATGTTTTCAAGGCCTCTAGTTGGTTCTGAGTAGCTCCACCCCACCCCCATATAGCACAGTGTTACTGAGGAGTCAGTCAGTTTTACAGTTCAGTTGAATTTGAGCTGGACATTTAACAGTTGACTAAAAGATAACGTGGCATCTGTCCTCTGCAAAACTCCATACAAATTCTTTGAAATAACAGAATAAAGGAAGTAACACTCCTCCAGCTCACAGACAGTGAGCAACAGAAACAGGATTATCTTCAACATGACAGGCCACCATGGTATGGAGCCCATCCCTCAGGTCTGTAGCTGGTCAGCTGGACAGGAGACAATGATGCTGGGACTCTACATTACATGGTCATCTTTTCCCCTAACTTAGGTCCTGCCAGTCTTTTCCGTCAGGCTTACTGATAGAATCACATACCATACAACTCAACCTATTCAGAGTGTTCACTGAATTTTACAAGTTCTCAAAGCTGTGCAGCTATCTAGACAACAATCATAGCAAGAAACCCTCTGTTAGTATTTACTTCCCATTTTCTTCCAGACCCCCCCACCCCCGGCTCTAGCAGCTGCACATGGACTTTGTATCTCTGTAGACTTACCGTTTGGTTATCCCATAAAAATATGTCGATGTGGTCTGGTTTGTCTGGCTTCCTTGACTCAGCATGATGCTTTCCAGTGTCATCCATGTAGAAGCATGTGTCCACACATTCCGTTTTATGCCTTTTAATCCACCGTATGGACATGTCACATTATTGACTCATGAGCTGGCGGTCATTCTGCTTATTTTTCTCTTTTGCCTGTGATGGATAATGCTGCTTGAACATTTGTGTACAAGTGGGCGTGAGTTTTCGTTTTCACTTCTTGTGGTGTTTATCTCAGAGTGCGACTACTGGGCCACATGGTAACTCTATGTTTATCCTTTTTAGGAACTGCCAGGCTGGTTCCCACAGCGAGGCGCCATTTTACACTTCCACCAGCAGTGTGTGAGGGTCCCAATTGCTCCACGTCCTCACCGGCACGTCTTACTGCCTGCCCTTCTTACTGTAGCCATTGTAGTGGGTGTGAAGTGCTGTCTCATTGTTTTGCCTAACATTTCTCTGATGGATTAATATCGTGATGTTTATATTACTAACCTAGGGCAGAAGTTTAAATTTTATACTTTCATATAGAAACCACCTCATATTACTGGATTAACCAGTAATTCTGAAGCAAGACCATAATTCTATACCAGAAAAATGTTGTTCATGAAGTTCTACTTGAAAAAAAAAACATAAAGTAAAATGACTAGGGATGAAGATAACACACTCACCCGGGACATTTGTTTTGTAGTATGAATTCATCTGCAGTGTTCTTTATCTGTGCTACTAAAGTGCTATTATGTGACATTTACTGGATAATCCAGACAGCACTTTGGCTAAATCCACAGTATGGTGTCACTAGGTAAACATTTGAAAATGGAAAAGTGTGTGTCTTCTGGTTTTATCAGTTGAGATTAAAGGTGGTTTATGGCATAAGAAGCCTTTTTCTCCAGCACTTTGTATGTCAGTGTGGGCCAATAATCTGTCACCTGAAACTACTTAAAGTAGGTTGAGGTTTCTTGACTGTCCTGTTGCTGTGATGACATCAGAATCTAACTGCAGAGGGGAGAAAAGAGCATTTCTCTGACTTCTTTGCCTCCGTGTCCTTTGTCCCTAGTTAAAAGCACTGCCCTTTTCAGCCCTGCTTCTGTCTGGTTCTCAGGTATTTTCTACACCAATAGCACTGTCTGTTTCCTCATCCTGTGGAGCTCCTAGTCTGCTCATAATTGTTTCTGTCAAGGAAAGAACACCATGTGCAGCTTGGAAGTGTGTGAGTTTCACCAGCCCTAGATCTGTACAAAATGAGGAGGGGGCTGGTGGAGGAGAAAAAAATCTCGAACCAAATTCAGAAGATGCTTTCTCTAGAAAGTCTCAGGATGCCTCTGAGAGCTCCCCCAGGACAGATAAGTTCACAGGAGACCAGTCCTCCTCTCTGCCACCTAGAGCCTCCCCCAGAGCTAAGCTTCCTGTGTGCTGTGCATTCCTGACTGCATGTGGCACTGCTTGCAGAAGGCCCGCAGGGGACCAAGGAGAAAAGAGAAAGAAAGAGTAGGGATTCCCTCCCTTCGAGGGTTCTGCCTTAACTGCTCCTCAGCTTGATGTGGGCCTGTGGTTCAGCTGGGGAGTGGCTCCAAAGAATGACCAGATTGATTGGCAGAACTTGAATTTTGCTACCCCCAAAGTACTGGGAGGCACCAACTTTAGACACTTAAGCTGGTATAAGCCTTCATGAATTCTCTTTTGACACTTTTTGTTAATTGAAATACTGCTCTGGGTGAAGCAAGCACAAGCATATCATGGCTACTAAAGATCCTGGACGACTGGATAACCCTGGATCATGTGCCTTCTGAACTATTACAGAGGAACGAGATAGTAATCGGTGATATGTTAGTAGGAATTGTGGTTTGGTTCTGCTTTTTAAAATGACTACCCCTCAAGTAACAGAAAACTAAATGACGGCAAGCACTTGCCAAGCTGGACTGTGTGCTGAGATCGTGTGTGCACAGGCTCCTGACTCGGTTTTGCCATAGCCCTCTGAGGTGACACGGTCATCCTTCAAGTGAGTTGCAATGAATCTTAGTGCTTGCCAGTATCCAGTGTGCCCTTAGCTCAACACCCATCTATCTGTGACCTGACGTAGTCAATGTGGTGGCTCCTTGCTCCCTGTGAGGAATGGTGGGGAGGAGGTGTAGAAGCCCAGAGAGGCTACAGGGGGCTGTATAGCAAGAGCTTAGCCACATTAGAAAGCCAGCTGATGGGCTTGGCTGTGGCAGGGCTTAGTTTTGGTTGGATTCTGAGTTTCCATGTAGCAGTTTTTACAGAAAGCTTCAAGCTCCTTTCCCTCACATTCCCACACAGGAGGGAGTGATGGCCGAGGAAGAGCAGATTCATTTGTTCCTGTAACAAAATCAAATGTGCTTTGGTAGAACAAAAGTGGATTTGAAATTTTGCTTGTTCTTTTCTATTATGAAATTGAAATAAAAAAGGAATGTTACCTGTACCGATTTTCTTATTTCACATGGAAAATAAGAATGTGTTTAGAGCTTGAGCAAGTATCCTATTTCCTTTATTGCTACAAACATTGTTATCCACAGTCACTGGCTCAGTGAAGTTGTTAACACTTCACTGGACCACTGTTCTATGAGAGTTCTAAAAAAAAACTCTCTCTCCCTCTCCCCCCCCCTTCCTCCCTCCCTCCCTCCCTCCCTCCCTCTCTACATCCATACACACACACACTGTTAACAGCCGTTTGCTCTATTCTGACTTGTGTGCTTTCCAGTTAAGGTGAGTGTCTGCGTATGCTGTGACTAGCGCTACACTCCTATAACAACAGATGCCTGTCCAGAGGGGACCTCTCGGAGTCACCCATTCCTCCCCACCCCACACTTACAGAAGCAATTCTTTCATCTGGGCCTAAGTGACCCCCTTGGTAGACCATGCCCTAAGTCTGGCAGCTTGTTCCATTTTCTAGTAGAAATTCTTTTTCTGAGTTTAGAGAAATTGTATGTTCATTGAGTCTTCTTGAAAGTATTCCTTCTAGAGTGGCACGCGGTGAACACGAGGGTGGGACGCCTTAATTAGGAGACTTTCGTTGATTGCTTCCAATAAGTAAAGCAATTATACAGTGTATCGGGATATGAATACGTATGCTTTGTAATATTAACCCTTGATGTGGAAGAAGTAGCCTGGGCTTTGAAGTCAGGTAATTGCAAAACTAATGCTGACTGGATGCCAGGCACTGTTGCAAGCTCCTTTACAAGTTAGTTCACTCATGCTTACCTCAGCTCTCTGAGAGTGCTCTATTAATATGCCCATTTCACAGATAGGAGGAAACCTGAGGTGGGATTGAGAAAGCTGTTTTGAGTGTGGGAACCAGCAGTTGAAATCAAGTGTCTTGTCTGAGTCCAGGCTTCTAATTCTGGTGCTACACTTCAGTCGCCAGGTAGCTCTAGGAGCTAAACTGTCCTCACAGTACTTTGCTCACCCATAAAAATGGGCAAGGCTCTTTGAAGAATTAAATGGAGAGCAAACATTGCTCTTGCAGAGGCTCTAGGTTTGGTTTCTGTTGTCAGACAGCTCACTCTGTTGTCGCCTGTAACTCCTGCTTACCCCTAAGTAAGCCGAATCCACTGCCACCTGCACCCATGCCTGCATACCCACAAGGCCTTGCACAGAATTTAAAATAAATACATTGTTCAAATGAATCCAGTGGCATACTATTGAGCATGACCAGAGATTCTTACTGGTGACTCTACACCTAACTCATTTGTGGGTTTCTTTTGTTTTTTGTTTTAGTTTAGGCCCCACCCAGAGAACCCATGATTCATTTCAATACCCTGTGGTATGTGATCTCTTATGACCAATTTAAGATCCCTGTCAGAGTCACTCCAGAGTAAGCAGAGTGGCTTTTTAAATGACTCTTCTTGATGACTGTACACCTCAGTTCAGTGTTAGTCAGCTTGAACTAAGACAGGACAATGGTAAAGGGCCAGCCTCATTACCTGTAACAGTTGTTCCTGAGATATGTAAGCTGCCACTTTGCCCCAAGTTACTGCTGAAAGATAGTATATTTTAGGAATAACTGATGCAATTGAAAGGAATATGTGAGTTCCTCCTCTGGCTGATAGCTCCTCTGTTGTGACCCAGTGAACTATTGCGAAAGTAAACCTTTAAAAGATGTAGGTAGAGTGTCACTCACAAGTGTTTGTGTTTTAGGTCCTCGAACAGTGGAGCTCAAGAGAGCTTAAATATTCTGACTGATACAGGCTGCTCATCACCAGGTCCCTTATTCAGAGAAGAGGAGGCACTTGTCAGCACACTGCTTTTCAAAAAAGAAAGGAGCTCCCCAAAAGAACAGTTACCCCTGCAATGTTTTATATAATGAGGGTTTCTGATCATACAATTTTAGTTTTCTTTTGCAGGAACTGACTTACTGCAAGGCCATACCATTTAGCTCTCGGGCTAAACCAAATCAAAGGTGACAAGGCACATTAGTGACCTTAGAGGCTGTGCTATCTCAGCAGGGTGGCACTGTCCCATTCGACAGTCATTTATTGGGTGCTTATAAGACACTGCAATTCACATGTTCAAAGGACACTGTCCTAACACTTACATGCATGGGAGAGGGAGGCAGTGAGTCGGCAGGGACAGTGTAAACATCCTGCCTAACCAATGTCACCCCAGCTGCAGGTAATGCCTGATATGACCTACTGCCTTCAGTCTTAGATGGCCTACTGCCTTCAGTCTTAGATGGCCTACTGGCTTCAGTCTTAAATGGCCTACTGCCTTCAGTCTTAGATGGCCTATTGCCTTCAATCTTAGATGATCTACTGGCTTCAGGTCATAACATTATTTGAACATTTTTAAAAAGTCATTTTTTTTTTGTCTCAGAATGATTAGCTGGACTTACATGATCACAAAGGAATAAGATATTTGGGACTTTCCTTTTTGCCTCTGGTTTGTGTCACCTACTAGTCCATTCACCACTTGACAGGATTATATAGGAACAAGCTACACCTTCAGCAATTTGGTCACTGGGAAAGGGGACCCACGGTACATTCACCTTCAAGAGAAGCCCATGCCACCAGCCTCAGTAAACCTTATCCCCAACATCATTGGAATTGATGCCACTCTGACTGATGGCTCCTGGTGTCCATCTCAGTGCCCTTTAGCAGACTAAGCTCTCTATCCTTGGCTCTCTTCTCAAGATAAGGAAAAATAATAGCTCCTTACTATACCACACTACCCTGTGACATGGGGGTGGAATCTGACACGAAATGAACTCACTCCTGGTGGCAGCAGGAACAATTTGTTAGCTGTTAAGGGACAGAGTCCCAGTTCCTTCCATGTGAGACTACAACACATACAAGGACTTCTGCAGTACAGGGCTCCATTTTCTGCAGATACTACGTTATCATTCAAGCCAGTGTGTTCCTTTCATAGCCATTGCCAACCTGCTATGTGCCAAACACTGTTCTCGGCACCTGGGATAAACTCAAGAATAAGTCCACACAGAGTCTGAGCTGTGGTGTGGGAGTCAGCCTGGCACATTTCATGACTGGAAAGAGAAAAAGAGAAAGGAAAAGAGATGAGAAGAGAGCTTACAAGGCCCAGATGGCACAAGCCCTACCACGCCATGAGAGTAAAAACTGAAGGCAGAATGGACAGCTGCTAGTGACTATTGAGCTTGTAGGAGATACTAGGTACCTGGGTTCCCTGTTGTATTTGAAATAAGCAGATAAAGCCTTTATGTAAAACAGATGACACTGTCTCCAAGGGAGGCAATGGAGAGGAGCTTGCAAAGACAGCGAGTGGGCGATCCCAGGGCTCCATGATTTTGAGATGCACCTTGGTAGATGTGTGTGTCACAAGATTGGGAATAGCAAGATTAATTTTGGACAGCACTTGGCCTCCATGTAAGCCCCTTGTCCAGGAACTGGGGAACAGTTTTGGTATCTTTGCTTTCAGAAGGACTGACCAAAGAATCCAGCCTCACAGTGCTCGCTACTTAGATGTTTTTCCTGGAGCAGCACACAAGTCCACAGGTCTAAGCTACAGCCTTCCTGCCCACTTTTAAAGACCCCAGCATTGCTGAGTGCTTGCTAAGGCCAGAGGCAAAAACTAAAATACAAAAGATTCAGTTTCCTGTTCCTGGTTATACCAGACCAGAAAATGAGGTGGCTTTCAGAGGAGCTGCGGTGACCCGTGAACCTGCACTCTAGCTGTGACTCACAGTAGTAGCCTGTGGAAACTGGCAGACACTTTGTTCTACAAGATGTTGTTCTGAGCCAAGTGGGCACCCCAAAGTCAAGTTGCTTGTTTTAAGACCAAACCTCAAGGTAGAATATGAAGGCAGGCAGAAGGCTTATTGAAATAAGTCAGCTTATTTTGCAGGACAAAATGAAAACCTGCCAGACAATCTTAATTCTTACTCTACTGATTTGAAATTCATGAGACCATTGAAGGAGCTGAGCTGTTAAAATATAATAATAATAATTAATAATAATAATAATAATAATGTGGAAGAGAAGATATATCAGTCTTACTATTTAGCTGCCTATTATTTATTTGCAAAGCACAGTGCTGGCCACCAATGGTGCAAATATAAGTGACCACTGGCTTCTATCCCTCTGACTGTGTAAGTAATTTCCAAGTACTTAGGATGTAGTGTAACTACCCTAAGCTGTGTCCTGATTCCAGTTGCTGTACACAGAGTCAATTTGTACTTACCCAGCAACAAGAGAAAAAGAGAATAAAACAAAGAACAATGTGGATGGTGAGGGTAATTCTATCTGCATTTCCGGAGAGGGCCGCCTGCTGTCCCTCTCAGTTGATCTCAGCGTCCTATTGCTTTCTCCTGTCTCCCAGTGTAAGATTTCATTGTATCTAGTGTTTAAAGATAACATTTTCATTTAACATAGCCCCAAAATGCTATATCTGCTTACTGTGAGCAAAGAAGTAGCTTTCCATTGCTAAAAGAAATGCCAGCTGTTCTCGGCCTTACTAAGGGGTCAGTTTTCCTTTAACTTCTATGATATTTTCATTGTGTTCTTTGGCTATAGAGTTTATGTTCTAAAAGAGATACAATCCATTGTAGTGATAGATGTAGAGGACAAAGTCAAACCTTTTATAAATTCCAAAATCGGACAAATTGAGACCATAGGCCAGTTACTGGGCTTCTGTCTATAGCTAGTCATTGCCCACAGGTTTTACAAATCTGTAAAACAAAGATAGTTTTATTTATGTCATTGACATTGTGATGTTTAAATGGATAATAAAGATCCTGACAAGCATGTGGAGATAATGTCCATTGCTATCCATCCCTGCAGTAAGTATGGATGTTGACTACCTATGGAAACCAAGGGAGAGGA